GTGCCAAATGCAATGCAAAACTTTTTCAAAATATTATTCATGTCTTTCTTGAGAAGCACCATGCATTTCATTTACAATTACAATCTCATTAATTTCCAAACTTAAACTTTTTAATCACAAGGGGCGGTAAATACGACACTGGTAATCCTTAGGCTGGTGTCTGCAAGTAGACTCTACGAGTACTACCATACTGTCATTTTTACCGGTATTAACTGGAAGGCTCGACACCTATCCGCGCGATTTTCTGATCTTTCACCATGGACACTCAGGCCAACTTATCCAATTCATCTACACCCCCTAACCGGACTTACCACCGTATTTACCCCATCCACAGTTTCATAGTTCTCATTATAATGTAGTTTTTCTCAAATTAAACATGATGAGAATGTGCAATAATAATGATAAAAACAATTGGAGACAAGATGTAATACCAAATATCTTAAAACATCTTTTCATTTCAAAACACTTCTATAACAAAATCAATTTATTACATTATCCATTTCTTGTCGTCAATATTATTTCACAATGGCCATGCCATAAATTCATAGCAATAACAACAACTTTTCATGCTCAATTCACTACAAATTGGCCTTCTTCAAACTATGCTTTTCAATCATCAATTCCAATGTTTACAATTTTCTCTAACCAAGGTGCACAACCATTTGTTATTTTACAACAATGCACTTTCAAATGTTCAACAACAATGTTAAGATAAACAACTCTTTTCTCATACACCAAGTAGATTACCATCTATGCTAAACGATGTGATAAAGTTTCACTCTCAAATTTTAAAACAACAAGATGCCTTTAAACATGTCTACATCTTGCAAAAATCCCCAAAATTTTTAAGGTTTTATGTCAAAATCAAAACAAACACCTCTCCTCTCTTTTAAGAGGGTTTTCTATCAAGATAACACACCACCTATTATGTGACTTAAAAAATCCTTAAGAAATTAGTTTAGGAGGAGAGGGAAATCAAACCCACTTTTGAAAACCCTAGCATTTATGAGCCAAGACCAAACACTTCAAAATCATTAATGGAATCTTTAAATCTACCAAATCTAACATAAATATATATATATATATATGTATATAACTCAAGGAAATCTCCCTACCTTAAGATTTTGATGAAGAAGATGATGAAACCCTAGCTTCAATGGAGGATTCTTCAATGTTCCACCACCCCAAGAGGAACCCTAACTCGGATCTTCAAGATTGGTAAGAAAAGTTGGTGATTTGGACCCAAAATTTACAAGAATCAAGGTGTTTTAGGGCTTTGGTGAGAGTTTCTAGAGAGAAGGGAGAGTGAATGTGTTTTTAGAGAGAGAGAAGTGTAAAAAAAATAAGATAGAATCAGCCCTAAAAGAGAAAGGAAAACAGAGCCCCGAATCTGCCCAAATTGTTGCACGTGCGGTCCTCACTCCCGTATGTGCGGTGGCTCTGTCGCACATCAGCCCGCACCTGCCTTTTAGGCAGTGTGCAACTCACCCAAGTCATCCACTACCACACGTGCGGCTTCATCCCCTACACGTGCGGCTCCCATCCCGCACATGCGGCCTTGGGCCACTCACGTGCGGCCCTGGCCCAGCAACCCAGAAGATTTTCGCTTTGCTCCTGGGCACTCCGAACCTGACCCCGCACCTCCCGGAACTAGTGAGATCCAATGACGAACACCACAAGAACAAGGATTCTAATTCAAGAAAATTTTTTCTGAATGTTTCAAGCCCAATGAAAAAATAAAAAAAGGACGGGCCAAAGAAAGAAAGGAAGGACCTAGTCATCATAACCTCCCCACTTTAGGAAATTTCGTCCCCAAAATTTCAACAAACCCCTCAAATATAAGTACCCTAGCAACAATGATCCTTTTAACAGTATTAACAAGCCGCAATAACTATGTTCAATCCACATTTACTTTTCTCTTCGTCAACATCTCATCAAAACAACAATTGTCCACACTAGACATATGAAATGAAACACCTATAGCAAAACATCATTTCTTCACAACCTTACGCATAAATTAACAACACATACAACAACAAGGGATCATCAATTTAACACATTTTCTATTCACCATTAGGAAACATTACAAATTTTAAAAAAACAACTAAACATGCTCGAATAAATTCGGATACTTGGAGCGGACTTCCGCCTCCCTTTCCCAAGTCGCTTCCTCAATCCCATGGTGTCTCCATAACACCTTCACTAATGGTATGGTTTTGCCTCGAAGCACTTGCTCTCGTGTGTCTAGTATTTGAACGGGCCGCTCTTCGTAGGAGGCATCCTCATCTACCTCTAAATCAACCTAGTCTAACACATGAGAAGGGTCGGGTTTGTACTTCCTAAGCATTGACACATGAAACACATTATGGACTCCCGAAAGTTGTGGCGGCAAGGCTAACTGATATGCCACTTCCCCGATCCTCTCCAATATTTCGAAAGGCCCAATGAACCTCGGTGACAACTTCCCGCTCTTGCTAAACCTCATTAAATCCCGCCTAGGTGAGATCTTAAGAAACACATGATCACCCACTTCGAAAGTAAGAGGAGAGCCTCCTCTTATCGGCATAACTCTTCTATTGGCTTTGGGCCGTAGCTAACCTCTTCTGAATGAGAGAAACTTTCTCGGTTGTCTCCCTAACCATCTCCGGACCCAATAACGGTGCATCCCCTACTTCGGCCCAACAAACTGGTGACCTACAAGGTCGGCCATACAAGGCCTCAAACGATGCCATCTCAATGCCAGCCTGATAACTATTGTTGTAGGCAAATTCAATCAACGGTAAGTGCCTCTCCCAAGACCCCTTGAAATATAGGACACAAGCTCTAAGCATGTCCTCCAAGATTTGGATGGTGCGCTCCGACTGCCCATTGGTTTGAGGGTGATAAGCGGTGCTAAAGGTCAACTTGGTTCCCAACGCCTCTTGAAGGCTTTGCTACAACCAGGCGGTAAAGCGAGGATCCCTATCCGACACGATGGTTACCGAAACTCCATGAAGCCGAACTATTTCTCTAACATACAACTTCACCAAGTGCTCAACTGAGTCGTTAGTACGCATTGGAATGAAGTGTGTGGACTTAGTCAGTCTATCAACAATTACCCAAATGGCATCATTGCCCCGCTGCATTCTAGGAAGCCCAACTACGAAGTCCATGGTCACGTGCTCCCACTTCCATTCGGCTATAGGCAAGGGTTGTAACAAACCCACTGGTCTCTGATGCTCGTCCTTGACTAGCTGACAAGTAAGGCACTTAAACACAAAGGATGCGACATCCCCCTTCATACCCCTCCACCAAAACTGATGGCTAAGGTCTCGATACATTTTGGTGCCTCCTGAATGTACCGCAAGGCGTGAGTGATAGAACTCCCGAAGCACTTCTTCCCTACAAGATTCAGGCACAAAAAGATGATCTAGATATCATACACTCTGATCTGAGTGAATGTTCAAACCCTTCTCTTCATTCCCATTGGAGATTCTATCACGAATTAACTCTACTTCGCGGTCCCCTCGTTGTGCCTCTGCAACTCTGCTAATCAAGATGGGTTGGGCACTTAAGGTAAACAATGTTGCACCCCATTCGGATTCACCCAATTACAATTCAACTTGCTGACTTCACCCAACATAACCCACTCCCGAATGGCTACACTCGCCAAACTACTCACCGTTTTTCGGCTTAAGGCATCGGCCACTACATTGGCCTTTCCCGGGTAATAGTGTAACTCGAAATCATAATCTTCTAAAAATTCCATCCACCTTCATTGATGCAAATTTAAATCTTTCTGGGAGAACAAATACTTCAAGCTCTTGTGATCGGAGAAAACCTCAAACTTCTCACCATACAAGTAGTGCCGCCAAATTTCTAAGGCAAACACCACTGCTGCTAACTCTAAGTCGTGGGTAGGGTAGTTCTTCTCATGGGTTTTCAATTGCCGTGAACCATAGGCTACGACCTTTCCCTCTTGCATTAAAACACAACCAAGCCCATCCCGAGACACATTACAATAAACGGTGTAACCCAAGCCTCTCTTCGGAATGATCAACACCGGTGCCGTGGTCAATCTAGTTTTGAGTTCTTGGAAAGACTTCTCGCAAGCTTCACTCCACACAAACTTAACCCCCCTTTCTAGTTAATCTAGTCAAAGGCGCGGCTAATCTAGAAAAGTCTCTTACAAAACGCTGATAGTACCCCGCCAATCCCAAGAAACTTCGGATCTCAAAAACGTTCTTAGGTTGCTCCCAATCTTGTACAAAATCTATCTTCGAAGAATCTATAGTTACTCCTTCTCTTGACACAACGTGGCCCAAAAACTTCACCTAGGTGAGCCAAAACTCACACTTCTCAAACTTGGCATACAACTGGTGTTCTCTAAGCAAGTCAAGCACTACCCTCAAATGAGCCTCGTGTTCCTCCTCGGAGGTCGAATAGATTAGAATGTCGTCCACGAAGACGACCACGAAACGGTCCAAGTACTCCCTAAAAATTCAGTTCATTAAATCCATGAAAGAAGCCGGTGCGTTAGTCAACCCAAATGGCATTACAAGGAACTCATAGTGGCCATAACGCGTGCGAAAGGCCGTTTTCTGGATGTCCTCCTCCCGAACTCTCAACTGGTGGTACCCCGACCTCAAATCTATCTTTGAAAAGCAACAAGACCCTCTAAGTTGATCAAACAACTCATCTATTCTAGGTAAAGGGTATTTGTTCTTGATAGTAACTCGATTCAGTTTACGGTAATCGATACACAACCGCAACGACCCATCATTCTTCTTTGCAAAGAGAGTCGACGCTCCCCAAGGTGACGTACTAGGGCGAATGAAGCCCTTGTCTAGAAGCTCTTGGAGTCGAATCTTCAACTCATGTAACTCCTCGGGTGCAAATCTATACGACGCCATAGAAATTGGTGCCGTTCCAGGCACTAAGTCGATGGTGAACTCAATCTCCCGGTGAGGTGGCAAACTAGTAAGGTCCTCGGGAAACACGTCCTGGTATTCACATACTACCCTTGGCAAATCAACTCGAGTCCCGCCACTCTCATTATTCAGAAGAGTAGCAAGAAGACCACTAAGCTCATTCCCACTACGAGGATCACATACTGGCGATAAGAACCGATCAATCCTGTCCCCCAGAAAATAAAAACAATCACCACCTGAGGTGCACACTGTGACCCTCTGCCGAAAACAATCAATCACTGCCCGATACGAAGTCAACCAATCCATGCCTAGAATGACATGAAAACTGGACATGTCTAATAACACAAAAGCAAACGGGAGTCTACACCCGGCAACCTCTATCTCACAATCACGACAGCCCTGATCTAAGTCAACTGTACCCCTGACTGGGGACTCTACTCTGAGTGGAGATGCTAACTGTGTCACCTCTAGCCCCAATGTAGATGCGAATGCAACAGATACGAATGAATGAGATGCACTCGTATCTATCAACACACTGGCCCAAGAATTGCATACAATGAAAATACCTCTCACTACCGAGGATCCTGGCAACTGTTCTGGTGCGGTAACTGCGTACACGCGCCCTTGTGGCCTCTGCTCAACCTGCTCATCTCTCGGAGCATAGGCCTGCTGTACTGATTGAGTCGAAGCGACTCCCTGGAGAACTTGTGAAGCCTGAGCTGAGTGAGCCTGCTGGCGATTCTGTGTCTGCCTAGACCCTGAAGCGCCAGATGCGTCTCCCAACTGAGGGCAAGCTCTCTTCATATGCCCCGACTGCCCGCACTGAAAGCAAGTAGGCCCCTGACCCCTACTTTGAGACTGAATCTTAGATCGGTTATGTGGTGGTGATGGCAACATCTGATGTCCTCCTTCCTTCTGTGGACAAGCAAAGGTATTGTGACCCGGCTGGCCACACTTGAAGCAAGAAAGCCCGCTCGGTGCACTCTTCCCCGGGCTCGCACTAGGCAAGGGAAAAGTAGATCTAGACTGCTGCAACTGAGACTGGGATGAAAAGGCGCTCTTACTCTTCTTGTTGGGCCTAAAGTCCCCCTGTGACCCTTGGCCCTTAGACCTCAAATTCCGAAGTCTCTCCTCCTCGGGCTCCACAACATGTGTAGCTGCCTTCACAAGGCGATCATAAACTCGGATCATATTCCTGGCAACCTTGAATAGGATCTTAGTCCTCAATCTCTGCTCAAACGCGATGCAACGATGCTCCTCCGTCGCTACTAATTCCGGTGCAAATCGGGACAAACTAGAAAATGCCACTTCAAATTCAGCCACAGACATATTTAGCTGCTTAAGGTCCTTGAACTCCTGCCTCAACCTCTCCCTAGCAGTATGAGGTAGGTACTTGTCTTGGAAGGCCACCACAAATGCCTCCCATGTTGGTGCTATTCGACCCTTGGCATACTTCCACCATTGCCCTGCATCCCCTTTGAGGTAGTAACTCGCAAGAGTCACCCTCAATTCACTATCTTCTATGTGGAGCATCTCAAAAGTTTTTACCGTTTGCTTTAGCCATTCGTCTACCTTCTTTGGATCGAGGCCACCGTGGAACTCATCCGGTTTAGCCCCCCAAAACTCCCCCGTGATGAAGCTCGCCCTTGTTTCCGCAACATTCTCCCTTGCCTGGGTCTCGGCCCTAAGTATATTCATGGACTCCCTCAATGCCCCGCCATCTCTCGGGCTAGAGCCCCCATTGCGGCTTGGCCGGCTTGCCCCGGCACCTTCGCTTGCCCCACTTGTTTGGCCATGTCAGCTTGGCCTAGACGCTACTCTTGCACCGGTGTCTCATGAATCGGCACCTCATGTATACCCTGGCGACCACGACCTCGCCTTCCACCCCTACCACCTCTTGTTTGAATTCTTTTCGACATCCTAATTAAGGAACAAAGTAGATAATTTAGCACATAATTTCCAAATGTGCTCGCAACTTGCCTCACACGTTAACTATAACCATTATATACGTTCTAGCACACAAGCAATCCAATTCACTCCACATAAGCACGTAGTCACATAAGCACATACAAATTATCCTTTAGTATTGAGATTTGCCCCATGAGAAACCAAGAATTCTTAGTAAAATGAGTATTGATCAGTTATCCTTCTAATAAGACCTCAAAGAATCTAATAGGCACAAATAACATCCCAAAAGTCTAATCCCATACCCACATAGTCACATAAGCATGCTATCACATAATCACATAGACAAGACATTTCCTAATCATGCGAAATGAATCCATTGTAGTATAGCAACCACTTCTCGCGAGCCCCAAGTATTCAAACCCGGTAGCTCTGATACCAAGTTGTCACACCCCAAAATAATTCAACATGAACCCCCAAATGAATAAACATTCACTATACAATGGCAATAACTCCTCCATCTTCATATATATAATAAATGGTTTTAATACAAAGTTTCACATGCAATATATATTCACAACACAAAGGAATATACGAATCTATAGCATGTGAAGCACCAAATCTCAGAATAATAAAATGCCCTTAAGGGCTTACATCTACTAAGGCAATAGCCTGGTTACACAATAATCCGGTTACACATCCTCCTCGGCCTCCACAATAATCCGTCGCTGCTAATTCCGGTACAAAACTTGCCACATAATGTGGGCCCTACTTTTATATATAAGAACTTTGGTGTAAAAATTTTCTTTACATGTAGCGTTGTTGCAGTCCATAGACTCCTAATCACCTCCAATCCTTTTTGAGTCTGAAATGTATAAAGAGATTCTTAATCACTGTATATGATTATTGAGTTATCAAAAATAATTTTTGAATTTTCAAAAATATTTCAATACATAATATTTTAGAAAGTTGTTATGGTGTGTACATTTAAAAAGATACATGTTGTCATGGTGTATACACGTCATCACAATATATATAACATAATCACAGCAACTCATAAGTGTGTAACATTTACACTACATCATTCATACTATAATTATAACGGTTCATAATTTATACTTTCACTTTCACTTTGATGTTCATATCATAAATTTAATATTGGTAATTTTTAGAAACAATTAGTAAAACATCCCTTTCCAATTTTGGTAGTAGGAGAGGTCTAATATATATATTTTTCTTATTAGTTAAGATCCCTCAGTAATATTGTTAGAAAAATTTCATTTCGTCACAAAGAAATTTTTTTCTGTGAAGAGTTGAAATTTTTTTATGAAGACAAATTTCTTTGCACTGAAAGTTTTGTACTGAAATTTCTCTGTGAAAATGTTGAGGAACTCCAACTGTTATAAAAATGTTACATGTCTTTTATCTTACAAAATTTTAATATTATAAATCTTAAAGCAAAAACCCATAATTTTTACCACAAAATAACATTGCACATAACAAATATTTTTATCTTTTATCATAGAAAATTCATACATTTCTTGTGATATGTATATATTATATATAGTTGATATTATTATTGTATTAATGCCAGATTTTATCAATTGGTGAGCTTTGTGATGCTTGTTATCCTATTTAATGGAGCTGCTAGCATTGATGTTAAACCTGTCAGGTGTTAACATTTGTGTTAGTTGTGGCGAATATGTCTTTCAGTCCTGTTTTGTAGCTCGAATTTCATTTGGCTCGAGTGGCCCGACTGCCCAAACCGACGTCGTTTTGGGCAGTATATATATATATATATATATTTTCTGCAGATGAAGAAGAGGAAGAAGAAGAGGAAGAATAAGGAGGAGGAGGAGGAGGAGAGAAGAGGAGCTAAGAGATGGAGAGAACAAACAGAACAGAACATCATCATCATCTTCATCAGTACAACAACATCACTTTCATCAACAACACCCATCAATGACACATTTATCACCCATTTATCACCCATCAACAACACATTTATCACCCACATCCAGACCCAATTGATCTATTGATAACACCATCTTCATCAAAACATGCTCTTTCTACAAATTTCCCCCCCTTCATCTTCAGATCTAGATCCACCAGGAAAAAAAAAATCATCATCTTCATCAACACATCATCATCATCATCAACAACATCATCTTCATCAACATCAACATCAACATCATTTTTAGATCCAGATTCACTAGGGAAAAAAAGAAAAAGAAAAAAAAGTAGAGTTTTGATGTAGTGATCTCGATTTTGACCCGGTCAACTTCAGGGGTCGAGCTGCCTGGTCAGCTCGCCGAAAGCAAAAATGAAAAATGCATTCGAAATTGCTTACGGGAAAGTGTATTTCACGCTCGAGTGACCTTGTTATATCAGTCCGTAAATTAGGGTTTCAGATCACTTTTTGCAGCCCTCTCTCTCTCTCTCTAAAACTCTCAAAATTTCCAGGTCTAGAGCTTCTCTCTCTAGAAGTCATTTTCTCTCTTTGGTTTCTCCAAATCCATTGGGATTTAGGCCTAAGTTCTTCACCAAAGTTGGTTATCACCTCGAGGGCTTCATTGTGTGCGGTGGAGATCAAGTTTTGACACCGTAGATTTTGGGGTTTCATCTCAGATTCTCTTCAAAACTTAAGGTAGCGATTTTCTACACTATAATATGGTTTTTAGCTTAGTTATTTGCTATTGTGTATAGATGATGAGATTTGGTTGTGGTTTGGACAAATCTAGGATTTGGGTGTGAAATGAAAAGAGGGGTTTTGATGAATATGAGCTAAACGAGTATAAGGCTTGAATATAAGATCATGTTGTGCCAAAATAGTTGATTTTGGTGTTTGGGTTAATATTTGGTGAAAGGGGGATTTTGCGCTAATTTTGATTAAATTATTATTTTGCATAAATAATTGGGATTAACATTGAAAACGTGAAATTGGAAGGTTGTGATTATATATGGTGATATTGGATTTGTATTATCTCACCTATGGAAGTTTTGAATAAACTATTTATTTTGATATTGAACATCCCTTTAGAAATAATTGCATTAGACTATCGGTGGAGGATAGCTATGATTGTTGTAGAAATTACATGAAGATTAGGTGATTTAATGCCAATCCATTGTTGATGTCATTGAATATGACCATGTTATAGATACATTGTATATGCATGTTTACTGGGAGGAGAAAGGGGATGGACTCCATATGTGATTATGTTTATAAATACATTGCATATCTATATTTGTTTGAGAGGAGAAAGGGGATGGACTCCATTTAAAGCAAGTTGGCTGGAGTGTCCTGGGTGAAAGACCAGAAATTTTATATATACATGAGTGCCGATTCCTTCGGATGAAATATCCGTAAAATGGCAGGTTTGAAGTATTTATGTGAATTTTTCATAATTGGAAAAATCATTGAGTTGCAGTCTCATTTTGATTCTTGAAAGATAACAAATTTAACTAATGAATTGAGTAGCATCTATGAACTGAAAATGAAATTAAAGGAAAATGGAATAAGGTTGGTCTTAGTGGCATATGGATATACATGTCTTGTGGATGTTTCAGGATCGGTATTGTTTATGTACGTGGTATTTATACCTTTGCTAAACCTCATAAATTGTGTTAGATTATTTCTACTGGGCTGTTGGCTCACCCTATATGGGAATACCATTTTTAGGTGCAGGTGAGATGCTACCTCCAAGGCAATAGTGTGGATGGAGTTTTGAGAAGCAAGAGCTTCTTAATTATGCCTTATGTGTGTATGTTTGTTATTTGTAAAGCCAAGGGCTTAAGATGTAATGAGTGAGACTCCATTTTGTGTAACTAAGAATGCTCTTGGATAAATTTGTAAGCCTGTAGGGCACTTATTATCTATTTGGCTTCCATTTCATACTTGTTGTAAAATGCATGTTTGGGATTAGAACTTGGGCTTTGAGATGTGAACAACATGTATTTGGCATTTGGGATTTAATGGAACTGGGTGTATGGATTAGTTTGCAATATATATGTGGTTGTCTATCAGGTGGGTTTTGTTGCATAAATAGATATATCATGCCCAATTTTTGGGGCGTTACATTTGATCAGCGACCAGCGATCACCGCCATCACCGCAGATCTTCCTCCTCCGCCATGGCTGTCTCCATCTTTTCCCCTTTTCTCTTTCTCTTCTCTTCTCTCTCTCTCTATCTCTCTCTCTCGCCTCCTCTCTTCCTCTTCTTTTCTTCTCCTCCTCTCTTCCTCTTTTCTCCTTCTCTTTCTCTTTTCTGTCTCTCTATTCGAAAAGCAAGAAAAGGCAAAAAAAAAAAAAAAAATCGAAACCCAAAACAACATCGTTTTGGGTTTCGAGCCAAATTCGAGCCACCGAATTTCGAGCCCCTCTGTTTCTCCTCATCCTCCTACATCATAATCTCCATATGGGCCACA